GCCTGATTCAGATGAGGAGACAGTGAGTGACAATGGCCGCGTTCTTGGCTTTAGTTTGGGGCACATCTTCCCACTTAAACTTGTTTCCGCCCTCCTAAGGTGTTCGCCTCCTGCTCAGCTGATGCCTCCATTCGCATCTGGGACATCCGAGCAGCCCCAGGCAAGGCCTGCATGCTCACCACGGCCACTGCCCATGATGGGGATGTCAATGTCATCAGCTGGAGCCGCAAGGAACCCTTCCTGCTCAGCGGTGGGGATGACGGCGTCCTCAAAGTCTGGGACCTACGGCAGTTTAAGGTATCTTCCCAGCTGGATTCCTAAGGGCTGGAGAAGCTACTGGGAATTGAAACCTGGAGAGGAGGCAGGAACAGCAGGATGTGGGTATGAGCAGAGGTATCACTCCTTCAACCTTGGACACCTGTTACTCTTGAGACACCCTATTCATCTGTCTTCCCTTTCTCACCATCTGTGTTAGGTCGGTACATTAGCTGGGTGAGACTAACTCTCATTTGCCAGTGTGGCAGAGATACAGCTGGCTACACAGCCCCCTGGCCCTGAGCTGCTGGGAATTGTAGTCTGTTTTAGTGGACTATACAGCATCAGTTGGGAATTTGAGCCCCATTCATTTCTTGCAGAAGGAAACTGAGGCACAGACAGGAGCAGAGGTGACATCACAGTTAAGCTAAGAGTTATCTGTAGAGCTGAGCAGTTCTAGGCAGGCGGAAGAGACGCTCCCAGTCTCTACAGGAGGCCAGGACCTCTCCTGGCTCCAGGCCTTCCCTGCATCGTCATGCCTTAAGCCTCTGCCCGGTTTAATCAGTTCTATAGCATCTTCCTTGAGGACACTTCCAGAGGGAGCTGCAACCCTCCTTCCATGCCAAATGGCCCCGGGCACTTCTGTTCCTAGCCCACTTCTTCTAACACAAGTGCTGTCTTTTGGTAGCATGGGGACCTTAAGGCTGTTTCTATTCTGTGAAGGCCTCAGCCTTAAAGAATAGCCAAGCATGTGCTAGACGGACTGCCCTCTGCTCTTTTTATAAGGAAGGATACTGAGTATGCTTGGGGCATGCAGGGGCAGGCTTCTGTCGCCTTGTCAGCCCATGGGCCATACATCATCCTTTTTGGGGGGTGGGGGGGTTTCAAGACAGGCTTTCTCTGTGTAGCTTTGGTTGCCCTGGAACTTGCTTTGTAGACCAGGCTGGCCTCGAACTCAGAGATCTGTCTGCCTCCCAGGTGCTGGGATTAAAGGCGTGCGCCACCACTGCCTGGTGACCATATGCCATCTTACCTGTTGTCCTTTCCCTGTGTTTCATTCCTGGGCTCTGACTTTGTATGAGTGTAAGGGAGGGGCCCTGGTTGAACTCTGAGCTGAGTGTCAAGTATTCATGCTAAAGCCTGATTCCTACCCTCTCTTATAGTCTGGCTCCCCTGTGGCCGCCTTCAAGCAGCACATGGCCCCTGTGACCTCTGTCGAGTGGCACCCTCAGGACAGTGGGGTTTTCGCAGCCTCTGGCGCTGACAACCAGATCACACAGTGGGACCTGGCGGTTGAGCGGGACCCAGAGGCAGGGGAGGCAGAAGCAGACCCTGGGCTGGCAGCACTCCCCCAACAGTTGCTGTTCGTGCACCAAGGGGAGACCGACCTGAAGGAGCTGCACTGGCACCCGCAGTGCCCAGGGGTCCTGATCAGCACTGCCCTGTCAGGCTTCACCGTCTTCCGCACCATCAGCGTCTAAGGTGGCCAGCACTTGCCTCACACCTTGGCTCTTCGTGGGAACTGGATTGGCTAACCTGGCAGGGATCATTAGGTCTGTAAACTGCACCCCAGAAAGGAAGACTCGTTCAACTGGCCTGTTTGGAACAGAAGTAATGGATTCTGCTGCCCTGGTGTCTGGATGTGGATTGGCCCTGGTTCATACACTTAGACCAAAGACCTTGCCCATCCCAGATGTGGCCTCTCTATAAGATTTCTGTCCGTGTTGACTCTTGGCTTGACACTTAGACCTCTGCCCCAGGAACAAGTTCTGGCTGGTGATGGACTCCGGGGACTTGAAGGGCTTTGCCATGCTGGGCCGAGTCTGGGTCTGGGTGCTCCAGTGGAATTTAGTTCTCGCTTTGCTTTCTGGCCAGCTAGGTTCCGCTGAGATCCCAGCTGAGGACTCGGGTCCCTCACTGTGCTGACCACTATTGTAGTGGAGGGAAGTCTGGGCTTCTGCTGCAGTAAAAGACAGTAAGCCCCAAACACGAGACGCCAATCTGTGAGCTTTTCTGTGACAAAGCTGAAGGGGGGGATTAGGCAGGGACCTGTCCCTGTATGGGACTCATCACCCTGTGTGGGCTCTTCCTTTTTGACTCTGCCTTTTCCAAACCAGTCCATTTGGACCTGGCTTGGAGTCAGTAAATGGGTGTCTCTTTCTGGACCACCGGTTTATTAAGACATCGTCCTTGGGGAAAGAAATGGGAACCCACATTTTTCTCCCCTTTATTATTATCTCAGTATTTCCTTCTAAGTTCAGGAGGCTGTTGTGCCCTTCCTATGGCTCTGTTTTCCATGTTCCTGATCCCCAGTGTCCCTCCCTGCCTCCCACCCATTCATTATCTGCACTGTCCTCTCCAGTCTGCCTGGGCCGCAGCCCAGTGTCCTGCCTGGCCAGCCTCCCTGGCTCCCCCTCTGCAGTGCTGAGCCGGCTCCACCCCCACCCCCCTCTGTTGAGGCCCTGATCCGCTATAGCTCAGAGGTTGAGTGCCCCGGCTCAGGCCCCAGGGGCCGAGGACAGACCTGAACACATTAGCACCCACAGAGGCCCCTCTCCAGCCTGGGCAGAGGAACCCCCAGTGCAGGGCATGGGGGTGGGCGGCCCCCCCAGGTAAGTGCAGACATGAGCCAACCCATCTCATCCTCCCTCTGCCCCCAACACCTTCCCTGATGTTCCAGCCAGTAGTTCCCCCTCTCTGGTACCCCCAGTACTTGGCTTCCAGCTCTGGCCAATACTGATGATGAATTTCTCACTAGCGCATTCTCGCTCTGAGAGGCAGCCCCTCACTCTCCCTATCTATCTCCATCTCATGAGACACGAACCTGATTTCCCTGGTAATTCTTAGCCTCCTTGTCCACAGACCTCTCTGTCTACCTGCCCCCCCCACCCCCCCCCGTCTTTGTCTCTGTCTCATCTCTCTCTGGGCCTCTGTCCCTCCAGCTCACGCCACTGTGATCTCTGTTCCTCTCTTTAGGTCTCTTTGTGTCAGTTTCTTGTCATTCTGTGTCTGTCTCTTTCTGGGTTTCTTTCCCTCTCTCAGTCTCTCTCAAGTCCATCTCTGTCCCCACCCCGTTTGCATCTCTCTCCCCCCAGCTCATGCCTCTGACCTCCTGTTTCTCCAGGTCTCTGTCGCTTTCTGTTTTTCTGAGTCGGTCTCTTGTCTCTCTTTCTGGGTCTCTGTTCCCCCAGCTCATGTTTCTGACCTGTTTCTCCGAGTCTCTGTCTGTCTGTCTGTCTGTCTGTCTGTCTGTCTATCTATCTATCTGTCTATCTGTCTATTTATCTGTATCTCTCTATCTCTAGGTCTCTATCCCCCCAGCTGGCTACCGTGACTTTGCATCTTTGAGCCTAGTGACCCCAGTATGGTTGGGTTGTCTGACTGCCTTGGAGATCCAGAAAGGACAGGAGTTCCTGTCCCTGCTTGTTCAGTGGTTTCCTTGGGACTCCCTCAGTACCCTCTGTCCCCATTATTTGGCAGGGGTAGGGGTGCCACCTTGTGTGAATGGGAAGGGCGGGGTTTCTTGGCTTTAGATTATATAGTGACTTTGACATGCAGTTGAAGTACCTTAAGCCCTTTGGCTCCTTTATATGGAAACATTAAGCTGCTCTTGTGGGTCAGGTGGAAGATGGGGGGGTGTGGGTCAGTATCCTTCCCCCATCTTTTGTGGGAGCAGCCTACTGCTGGGCTCTGTGGGATACAGATGGTTCCCTGAAGGTAAAAGTCCCTCCCAGTCTAAGGTGGATACAAGTGGACACACCTCAGGGCAGTGGCAGAATCAGGGACCCAACCCAGCTTCCCACCCTAACACAGGAGCCCCAGATTGAGATGGGGTGAAGCCCTTGGCCCCGATACCCTGAACAATCAAAGGTGAACCCTGGGCAGCTGCAGATCCTCCATATACACACTGGCCTGGCCCACTGCCACACGGTAGTTGCCACCGTCCCTGGGGCTCAGCACACAAGCTTGCCACCTCTCTCGTCAGCTGAGGCACCAGCTGATTCCACCTCCCTCTCTACCTGGTTAGCTCTGGGGAACTCCTGCAGAGCAGGGATCCTGCCACACAGGCCGCTCACGGTGCTCCTCATTACTTCCCACATTCCAGCTCTAAAGCTGCTCTTGGGAGACAGCCTACTCCCATCCTGAGAATGACCTTCGACATCTGGTGCTGCTGTGCTGACTCAGCCCAGCTCCGTTCACTCAGGTTTGCACCTGTCAGGTGGGCCTAGTGACCTATTCTAGATGCCATGGAGACCAAGAAAGGAGGTGCAAGGCATCCTTGGGCCATAAGTGCCAAACTTCACACAGCCTTCTTACTTGGAATACTCAGGTCTTCCCACTAAAGCCCATGAGCTTCCATAGAGTCTAGTCTTGTGTGCTTACAGTATACGAAGCCATAGACTGAGCTGGGTAACACTTGGACCAGACTAGCCCTGTAGTAGCTGGAGATGTGGCTGAAGGCCCTGACCTTGGTTTTCCGCTCTGAGCAGAGGCTCAGGAAGGTCAGCAAACACCTGCTATAGGAATATCAGAACTCTTTGTCAGGATGACTTGCAGATGCCCTGCCTTTCAGGTTGGGGTTATCGCTCTTCATCCCTCAAATGAGCAAATCAAAAGTCTGAAAAAGGAGTCCTAGGCTACAGTCTAAACCAAATCAGACCTTGAATCTTTTTTTTTTTTTTTTTCTTGACAAGGTCTTGCTATGTAGATGGGCTGGAACTCACAGAACTCCACCTTCCTCTGGGATGAGCAGCAGACCTGAGTCTGTATGACCAGAAGGCACTCTGTACTGGGAAGTTGTTCCCATCCTTGTTAAGGACACTGAGATCAGACGGTCAAGGTTGAACCTGCTTGTTAGTAGCTTCATTTAGAAATAATTCATCATTCACCCATCAACATATGAGAGTGCTGGGGTCGAGAGCCCAGACCCGAGGCGTGGCACACATGTGCTCTGCTTTGAGCGGCAGCCTCATCTGTCCGGTGATGTCAAGTGTTGCACAGCTGAGCTGCTGTCACTCTGGTGCAGCTAGGACAGTTTTATGATGTTAGAAGGAAACCCTACATCTTTTCCAATCCCCCTTTTCTCAGCTGGAGGTAACCCCCACATACTGTTCCATGTGTTTAGAGATATCTCTATAGCTCAGTGTGGTGGTTCAGGTGATTCTTGCACTCAGGAGGTGGAGGCAGGAGGGTTGGTTCTAGGCCAGTCTGGGCTGTGTGCAAACTTTGTCTCCAAAACAAACATCGTCTCCAGGTTGTGGTACACAGCAGTGTGATGTTACGTAGTTTCTCCGTGTTGTTCAGGGAATACTTATGCGTAGAAAGGTCTGCATGTTCGGTAGAGAGGCCACTGCTTCCAGTCTGAGTTTCCTGAGCTTAGTGGGTACGTACAGAGGATACAGACAAAGGAAACTGAACTATGACTGGAATTGGCTCCTCCCACCTAAAATGTTTTTGAGGTACAGCCATGCCTGACACAGCCTGTGTTCCCACCTACTCCAGGGACTGAGGTGCAAAGATCTCTTGAGCTCATAAGGCAGCCTCAACAAAGAAATGTTTCATATGGTTTGATATTTGTCCATCATTTCTTTTTTTCTGCCAGGTAGAATCCTTGTTCCTTATCTGAGTCAGGGCCTTCCATAGCTCAAACTGGCCTCAAATTCTCCATGCTTTTACATTAGCCTCCTGAGTGCTGGAGTAGCAGTATGCACACCTCACGCCACATCTGGGGCTGGTTTTTCTCTTGACGCCAACACCAAGTGCTAGCATTCAAAGCTTGAGTAGCTGTGGGCTTAAGAAGGTTATATCTATAAAGTGATGTGGTTGTCTCAAAACTCTGTTCTGTGCTAGGGGCATGGCTCAGTGGCAGAGCACTGACAGCCCTCTACCAGTCAGGGGCTAGGGACATCCGTGGCTCAGTGGCAGAGCACTGACAGCCCTCGACCAGTCAGGGGCTAGGGACATCTGTGGTAGAGCACTGCCTAGTATTCAGGAGTATCCCTATTGTTCTACAGCAGTACTATCTACAAAACAAAACAAACCACAAATGTGTAAGTTCATGTGCAGGGCTTACGGCAGTCTAAGTCACCAATTTGGCATTCTTCATAACAGCATTACGAGGACTAGAAGAAACACTCCGCTTCAGTTGTTAGCAATACACAAGTTTCATATTCGTAAAAGTTATCCCGTAAGTGCTGGCCCACCCTTTGGTAGATGAGGGTGCGCAGCCCAGTGTCATGCCTGATGGTCCTCTAGTTCCTGGCACCCCTGACGTTCCTGTCCATCTTTTGTTCCTGTAGGTTTGGGGCGCCCGCCCCCCGCTAGGCCAAGTAGAGGGGGGTCTCCCCGCCCAATGGGCCTGGCCAGGGCCCTGCGCCGCCTGAGCGGCGCGCTGGAGTCAGGAAACAGCCGAGCTGGCGATGAGGAGGAGGCAGGGGCCGGGCTGTGCCACAATGGGTGGGCGCCCGCACCGGTGACTGGGAGCCGGCGCCGCGGGCGCTTCGTCAAAAAAGATGGGCACTGCAATGTGCGCTTCGTGAATCTGGGTGGCCAGGGCGCGCGCTACTTGAGTGACCTGTTCACCACATGTGTGGACGTGCGCTGGCGCTGGATGTGCCTGCTCTTCTCCTGTTCCTTCCTCGCCTCCTGGCTGCTCTTCGGCCTGACCTTCTGGCTCATCGCCTCACTGCACGGTGACCTGGCGGCCCCGCCGCCCCCGGCGCCCTGTTTCTCACAGGTGGCCAGCTTCCTGGCTGCCTTCCTCTTCGCGCTGGAGACGCAGACGTCCATAGGCTATGGTGTGCGCAGCGTTACCGAGGAGTGTCCAGCTGCTGTGGCCGCCGTGGTGCTACAGTGCATCGCAGGCTGTGTGCTCGACGCCTTCGTCGTGGGCGCAGTCATGGCCAAGATGGCCAAGCCCAAGAAACGCAACGAGACGCTGGTCTTCAGCGAAAACGCAGTGGTGGCTCTGAGAGACCGCCGCCTCTGCCTCATGTGGCGGGTGGGCAACCTGCGCCGCAGCCACCTGGTGGAGGCTCACGTTCGGGCCCAGCTGCTGCAGGTGAGGGGGTTTGTGGGGCCTGGGGATGGAGGCACGGGTGGGACCCAGCTGCAGATGTGGGGTGCGTGGGCATGCGCACGTTTTTAGGGGAGGACAGGGTGTAGGAATCTGGGAGGTGTGTCTCCAGCACCTTAAATAGCAGAGCCATGGGCTACCTGCAGGATAGAGGTAGACCAGGAGGAAAGTTCCTGGGAACCTGAGCTTGAGACAGTAGAACACCTAAGAGCGTCTTGGCCTGGAGACTGCCCGACAGGAGCTACGGGCTACAGACATGGGCAACCACACCTGTCCTCAAGTGCTTCCGGTAGCTCCCAGCAGCGGGAAAGTCCTGGACAGCTGCCTGAGATGGGTTTAGAGGGTGGTGAAGACTGAGGCCTTGCTACTATGTAGGGCACAGTTACCAGGAGAAAGGAAAACAGAGCAGCTCAGGACTTGAATCCCAGGCTCCCCTACCCAGTGAGCACAGCACCAAGGCTGGGAAGCAGCCCACTGAAGCCATTCCCACTGCGCCGGGGTAGCAGCCTCCTCCAAGCCCTGCTGTAGGAGCCTTGACACTCCTAGACTTGGGGGCCACATTGCTCAAGCATCTGGGCTCCCAACAAACCGCTGAGCTGCAGTCAGCACTGGCCAAGTGGAGGCTGCAATTGCGGCCAGAGGAGGGAGTGGGTGACTGTGGGAAGTTCAGCTTCCAGAAGCCTCTGGGGTACAGAGAACAGTGGACCCAGGGGGACACTTCTTTCAGAGGTCTGTGGGGTGGGTAGCGACACCACTCGGGAGACACATAGAGCAGTAGGTAGGAGACAAAACCACCAGCATCTAGTATAACACACACTTCTCACTGGGCTCATACCTATACTCAATGGGTTGGAGAGGCACAGCTACCTGAAACAGTGGTGGGGTCATTCCTGTTGGAGCCAGATCTGTCGCCCTTGTCCCTCTCTCTGGGTTCCTTTCTCTCTCTCTCTCTCTCTCTCTCTCTCCCTCTCTGTCCCCAGGTTTCTATCTCACTGTCTTCCCCTTGTTCCTGGGTTTCTCATCCCCCGCGGAAGGTGTCTGTCTGTCCCCTTATCTTTGAGGGTCTCCCTCTCAGTCTCTGGGTCCATTTTCTCCAATATCTCACCTCACTCTTTCTTCTTTCTTTGTATTTGTATTCCTCTCTTGCTGTAGCCTGTGTTCACCTCTCTGGCTCTGTTCTTTTGCTTCTGCACAGCCCCGTGTGACCCCGGAGGGTGAGTACATTCCACTGGACCACCAGGATGTGGATGTTGGTTTTGACGGAGGCACCGACCGCATCTTCCTCGTATCCCCCATCACCATTGTGCACGAGATTGACTCGGCAAGTCCACTGTATGAGCTGGGGCGGGCAGAGCTGGCCCGGGCTGACTTTGAGCTGGTGGTCATCCTCGAAGGTATGGTTGAGGCCACAGCTATGACGACACAGTGCCGCTCATCTTACCTCCCAGGTGAGCTGCTCTGGGGCCATCGCTTCGAACCAGTCCTCTTCCAGCGTGGCTCCCAGTATGAGGTTGACTATCGCCACTTCCATCGAACATACGAGGTCCCAGGGACACCAGTCTGCAGTGCCAAGGAGCTGGATGAACGGGCAGAGCAGGCTTCCCATAGCCCTAAGTCAAGTTTTCCTGGCTCCCTCGCTGCATTTTGTTATGAGAATGAACTTGCTCTGAGCTGCTGCCAGGAAGAAGAGGAAGACGAGGATGCTAAGGAGGGGACTTCAGCAGAGACCCCAAATCGGGCTGACAGTCCCCAAGCTCTTACACCAACCCTGACACTAACCCTGCCTCCATGACACAGCTGAGGTCCACTTCCCCATGTGGCTCCCCTTCCCAAAGATGACTGACACTCCATTGGGAGGAGGGGGTTTCCAAGGACCAGTGGCCTGCTGGGACAACCATTATCCATGAGGTTGTCTACCACAATACCAGACCTTCATTTCTCTGCTCCATTCTCACTCTCAAGACCCCTTTAGGAGCTGGATTCCTGCATCTCACAAGAGCCGAGGGATCCAAGAGGCAAGGCATAAAGGCTGGATTCTGGTCAGATTTCAGTGAGACACACGGCTTCAGAGAAGAAGATGTCAATTTACACAGATCAAGAAGCAGAGTCAAGTGACGACGGCTTTGCTACCCTCAGGAGGAAGTGGGCAGAGTACTCCAAGGATTCGGGACTATCATGATTGGCCAAAGACAGACTGGTGCCCGGACTCTATGTGAAGAAAAGCCCAAGAGTTGAGATCCTCTGAGTCTAGGTTGACACGGGGGATTCTAGAACAGGCTGGCTAGAGAGGGGATCCACTCCAGAAACCACAAGACACAGAGAATCGGTAGGACTGAGATGACGTGAGGCTCCTGACGCCGGAGAACTCTAGCATACCGGCTCTTTAGAGTCCAGCTAAGGGAGTGAGTCTGGCTTCTCCGTGTCCACAGGGTAAATCTGCTTTTGTTTGAAGTGCCATTCTTAGAGCATCCAAAGGAGTCAGGATTCTTTGGCCCAGTAGACGCCTGTGCTTTGCTGTTCCACTTTGCCCAGAGGGTTAGGGAGCTCCATGACCATGGGTGACTTCCTGTGTGGTTTTATAACGCCAACAGGAATCAGAGCTCCAGGGACCCAGAGCTGTCCTTCCCCAAAGTTCTAGTCACCTTCAGATGGACAGCCTGGTAGTCCTGGGAGGCAGACACTTTTCTGGGCAGGGCTGGCAAGCAAGAGCCTAGAAGATCCCAGGGCTAGGGGCCAACGGAAGGGGGAGGCTGAGGCTGGGGAGCCTAAAATATTCTGGAATACTACACCTAGTGATGTGTGTCTATTTCTCAAAGATATCCATATGTGTATTATATATAAACACAGATCTCTATCTTTTCCGTTCATTCCTGCAGTAAGATGTGAACAGGCTCAAGCCACTTGGAGCCCTTTGCAGAGATCTGGGAAGACTTTAAGTCCCAGCAGCTCCAAGTGACTCCTGGCAAACCTTGCCTTGTGTGGCTTCAGTCTTTCCTGGAACAACGACCACTAGAGCTTTCCCAAGCAGGATGGCCCTTCACTATGGAGGCTAGGACATTTGTCCCCACCCTCATGCTGAAACACACAGCCTTCCGGGTAGTTGGGAGGGGATGCTGACTTGATGACTGGTTCCATATTGTATGTAAATTATAGGACCAACGAGATGCATGGGCTATCACAAGGGTCAATGGCACCACCTCCCTGCTTCAGATCAGGGTCTTGGGATAGAAGAGGCAGCTGTTATCTCCAGGGTTATGTTCACTGTGAGAAAAGTGGGGCTCTTAGGGTAACCCTGTTACTGTCTTAAAGGCCCAAGAGCACCAACAGGGTGCCTGTGTTTCTGGAATTTTTGTTCTTGTTCTTGGCCTTCCCACAGTGCAGTCACCTAAGTGCCCAGCAGGCTGGTGGCCAGCCTCAGGGGAACTGCCAGAAGGAGGTGTCCTCACCCGTGTTCCCGACTGAGAGCCAGTACTGGCACCAGCTTGCCTGCGCTGAATCCACCCATGCCCTCTTCTGGCTCGCATCATGCTTTATCCTTCAGAATCCCCAGGTAATAACCGGACAGGATTAATTAGCTCGCAACTCCCCCCTCCAGGTCCAGGGCAGGGACTAAGGATGATGAAGGCCATGGTGGAGAAAGAGGCTAAGTTGGGCTGAAGAGACAGGGGCATGTGGTTCTATTGGGAAGGAGAGGGTGGGAGAGGGCTGCACAGCCAGAGCTCTGCAAGGGAGGGCATGGGTCGGGCCACTCATAAAGGTCAGAGAGGGGATTAAGAAACTCCATGACTAATCCAAAGGCTTAACCAAGTCCTGGCCCTGAATCCGTCCTCACCTGGGCAGCCCAGGGACACGGATGAGGACGAGACCTGGAAGTCCCTCTAGCCCCATCATGGGCCTTTGATTTACAAATATGCCTGAGTCCCCATCACAGACAGCTCCCTCACTGCACAGCAAAAAGGAGGAGGATGGGGGAGTTAAGAAGGGCAGGAGTGTGGGGACAGAAAAGGTTGGGTAGAAGGAGGACCTTAAGTACAGGGTACAGGGACCTGGAGAGCTGCCAAGAGAAAGTCAGAGCAGGTGGACGATTGTGTGTGGGGGGGGTGTTGTTTTGGGACAATGCCTGGGGAAGGCAGAATTTGAGGAGGAGGAGGAAGCTAAGAGTTTAGGAGAGAGGAAGAGCCTAAAGACAGCGCTGGGAGGGTAGAGCCAGTGTATGCATCGTTCCCAATACATTTGGAAGAGATAACGCCTTCAGTTTACCATCCTTTGACTCTGGGATATTGAGTGTAGGAAAGTCACATGAGGTGGTACGGAAAGGGTTCAGAGATAGCAACTGCCTGAAGAAAGAAGTACCCTGAGAAAGGAGGCAAAAGACAGGCCTGTGCGGCTCCCAGTTGCTCGGCAACCGCCGCGGTCAAAAGCTAGCGTGGAGGGCGCAGGAGGTGTGGCTCCAGGAAGCAACTCTAGGCTGAGACCCCGCCCTTGACAACAAAGCTAATCAAATCCCGCCCCCTAACAACGAATTCCTAAAAGAGGTTCCGCAGCCTAGTCGGGCTCTTACGCAGGCGCAATCCTCCCTGCTCCACGAAGCCCCACCTCCTGATCGCTCCTTTTTGAGTTTTCTTATTGGAGAATAAAGCTGCCAAAGATTTTCCTTTGTTTCGGAGGCGGGATCAAACACTCCGTCCGCACTCTGATTGGTCACTCTAGCAGTCTATCGCCAGCTGTACGTTCCTGCAACTGTTTCTCGCGTGCCTATTGGTCCCGGAGATGATACTGTGGCGTCGAGGGCGGAGCAGTCGGGGAAACCCGTAGTGGATTGGGTGGTATCAAAGCGAGGGGCGGGCCCCACCGGCCGGGCGGTTGGGCCGTGAAGGGAGAGTCTTTTCGGCGCTGAGGACGGGCGCTGAGGAGGCGGCGGTGGCTCCTGGGGCGTTTGAGCGGGCTCACTCGAGCCCGCGGGCCGACGCGGACGCAGGCCCAGCTGGCGGAACCGCCCCGGACTCCCCGCGGGCCTTCCTAGCCGCCATGGAGGACGGTGTCTACGGTAGGCCGGGCGAGGCGGACGGGCGGAGTGGCTCCCAAGCTCAGCCCAGGACCGGCGAGCGGTCGCGAGGCGCTTTTCTGCGCGCGGAACCGGCTTCCGGCCCGGCCGAGAGCCGGGGATTCCGGGGCTTTGTTTGGGCCGAGCCCTCTTCCGGCGGCGGCGGGCGGGGCGGGGCGGCGAGAGCGGGGCGGGGCGGGGCGGGGCGTACACCAGCGCGAGCCGCGGCCTGGCTTTCTTGCTGAGGTCCCGGACCCAGGGACTTGCTGCCTTAGTTTGTCTTCCCTGTGCACCCAATATTCAGACCACGGAACCAGGAGCCAGAGCCTCGGTTCCTTTTCAAGAAAGGCACCCAGGATCCAGGACCCCAACTCCCACTATGATGGAGCCAGGGATCCGGCCCCCTTACAAGAAATGTACCCAGGGTCCCCACCGTGATGGAGCCAGGAACCAGAGTCTTGGTGTCTTTCCAAGAAATGCACCCAGGGTCCTGGACCCCAGGACATCAGCCGTGATGGTGGGACCTGCTCCCTTTCGAGAAAGACACCCAGGATCCAGGACCCTAGATCCCCCGAGATGATGGAGCTATGGGCCCAAGGCCCTGTGTCCTTCCAAATGTTTTCAGTATCCAAGCCTCCCATTCTACCGTAATGGAACCAAGGAGCCAGGACATCCGAAATTCAGACCCACAAGTTCCCAACTGCGGTGATAGGTCCAGGAGCCCAGGCCTTGGTTTCTTTCCAAATCATACCCAAGATCTAGGTCCCCACTTCCATGATGAAGCCAGGGCTCCACATCCTTCCAAGTACTGGGCCCAGAAATTCATCCCCCAGACCTGTTAAGAGATGAGGTTCCCAGGCACTTCTGCCCCAGACTAAGGGGTCAGAGTCTTACTTCTCCCCTAAGGTTTCTAGTAGCCATTCCTCTTGAGTACAGGAATCCAGGATGCAGCAGTCCTTGGCCCCCAGAACTCATTTCCTGATCCTGACCCCTAGAGCCCCCAGACTTGACTCCAGAGGAGCGCATGGAGCTGGAGAACATCCGCCGGCGCAAGCAGGAGCTGCTGGTGGAGATCCAGCGCCTGCGAGAGGAGCTGAGCGAAGCCATGAGCGAGGTGGAGGGGCTGGAGGCCAACGAGGGCAGGTGAGGGCCGTGGGGAGCTCATGGCGCACAAGGCTTGGCCAGGGCCCTGGGTGCTCAGGCATTGACCTTGGCTGCTGCCCACCCTGCTTTTGCAGTAAGACCTTGCAGCGGAACCGGAAGATGGCAATGGGCAGGAAGAAATTCAACATGGACCCCAAGAAGGTTAGCTGAGCAGAAATTTAGGCATGGTTTTGACATCCTAGGTTCTAGAAGTGTTGAGATAGTAGTTTCCTCTAGGCAACAGAGTCCTGATCTCTGGGAATCCTAAGCCCCTGTCATACTCTCAGGGATTCCCCCTACCTCCAAGTGTACAGTTCAGGGTGAGATACGGCAGTAAGGGAGGGGGTGCATGTTTACAGTTCATGGACAGGTATCTGCGCTCACTTTTCATTGTAGTGGGTAACATATTCAATTATTCTTCAGACCTGTTCCTGCCGGACCCATTTGTACGTGCTGGAATCATTTAAGCAGAGGCTGAGGGCATGGGTTAGGGATGATTCGTGGGGAGCTGTAAGAAGCTGAGTGTGAAGCTGACATGCTCTGTTACGGTGGAGAGACTTGGGTTTTGAAGTTTATGGGGCGCAGCACCCTCTGCCTCGGCACAAATCTGGGCCCCTTCCTCCAGGGGATCCAGTTCTTGGTGGAGCATGAACTTCTGCAAAACACACCCGAGGAAATTGCCCGCTTCCTGTACAAGGGCGAGGGGCTGAACAAGACAGCCATCGGGGATTACCTGGGGGAAAGGTAAGTTCCCACCTGCGCGGTACCCCAGCCTCGTTAGTGGCTTGTGTAGGGAGCAGGCTTGGGGCTTCCACCTGAGTCATGCAGTGGGGGGCTGGAGACTATAGGATTGGGTACCTGTGGTCATCCCATGAGTAAGGGCTCTGCTTGTATCTGGGGGCACTGTTGATGGCTGAGTGACAGTCCCTTTACCATGTACACACAAGCTAGCATCTGAGAGTGTCATCCTGAAGTTTTGATCATGGGTCAGAGCTGCAGGTATATGATGGAGACGACCTGTGGACGTGTGAGTGCATAGGAACTAGGAACGGTCTGTGAGTTCTCAGGTAAAGGTCAGTTCTTGAGATAAAAGCATCTGGGGAACAGAGAAAAGAGATGCCATCAGGTAGTCTGTGTGCTCTAAGATTGACAAGCTGCAAGAACAAGGTGTCCTACTCAGGACCCAGCCTATGGATGGAGCCGAGTGAGAGGTCCAGCTGCCGTGAGGGCGGCACAGTAAACGAGATTGATACTACTATAGCTTCTGTTGCGCCTCCTGATAGGACCCTCTCTCCTTCCAGGGAAGAGCTAAACCTGTCCGTGCTCCATGCTTTTGTGGATTTGCATGAGTTCACCGACCTCAATCTGGTGCAGGCCCTGCGGTGAGAATGGGACAGAGATGCACGTGCCAGGGCTTTCTCAGTTGTTAGGGACAAACCACTCCAACAGAGACAAGGAACACTCCGGAAATGATTGTCTCTAATAGGACAAGTCCAGGTGGGGCCTCCTTCAGCACACCTTTCTCTTGGTGTGCTCAGTGGAGCCTCCTACCTGGCAGCAAAAGCACAGTCCAGTTAGCAAACTTGGGGGTGGAGAAAAGACTTTCCTCTGTAGACACTCCAGAGTCCATGGCCAGAACCTGCTGCTCTGATTAGATTACATGCCTACAAACTCAAACAGCTGGGGTGAGAAATTTGGTTCTGACTAATTGTTTTAGGGTTGGAGTTGAAACAGCATTTCACCGTGTAACCCTGATTAACCTGGAACTCTATGTACACCAGGCTGGCCCTGAATTTACAGAGATCCGTCTGCCTCCCCCTGCTGGGTGCTGGGATTAAAGGTGTGCGTCACCACACTGGGCAGGGGTTGGGTAATAACCTGTCCACTTCTAACAGGGACTAAGAAGTAGAGTGTTTAACAGCCCTGAAACCTGTGCCTGTCCCACCCTCCCCTAACCAGGCAATTCCTGTGGAGCTTTCGCCTCCCTGGAGAGGCTCAGAAAATTGACCGGATGATGGAGGCCTTTGCCCAGCGATACTGCTTGTGTAACCCTGGGGTCTTCCAGTCTACAGGTAGGACCAGAGGGCCGGGCATAGACCTGTATGAGGGAGGAGTGCTGGAATCTGGACTGGGTTTGAAGGAAGAGGCCAGGATCTAGGTTCCCAGAGTTTGAGGGGACGGGGCAAAGGTTTTGGGAAGGTTCTGGGTCATCACCAGCTACCTTACTCTATTGTTGCAGACACCTGCTATGTGTTGTCCTTTGCTGTGATCATGCTGAACACCAGCCTTCACAATCCCAATGTGAGGGACAAGCCAGGCCTGGAGCGCTTTGTGGCCATGAACCGGGGCATCAACGAGGGTGGAGATCTGCCTGAGGACCTGCTCAGGGTGAGTACTGTTCCCAGCCCCAGCCATCTTCCAGCCTTCCACCCTGTGCTCCAGGGTCTGCTGGTGCCTGAGCTGCCTCGCATGTGTCTCTTCTGCTCCCAGTTTTCTGGTCTGGTTATTTTCTGTCTTCTGTCATCTCTGAGAACTCAGCAGACTTTCCCACCATTACCCCTTCATCTTTTTTTCTTCACTCTACCCGTCTCTGTTTCCCTTTCTACCCACGTTGATGCTTTTCTCCCATGGATGATTTCTCTGTCGCTGGGGAAGTCTCAGTGCCTGGAGTTTCTAACCTGTTCTTTGCCCCTCAGAACCTCTACGACAGCATCCGAAATGAACCCTTCAAGATCCCTGAGGATGATGGGAATGATCTCACGCACACCTTCTTCAACCCAGACCGTGAGGGCTGGCTCCTAAAGCTGGGTACGTCCCTCCCTGAGCCTGTTGGCAACCCTGCAGGGAGCCCTGGTGGCCTGGATCAGGACTGAGCACCCTGTTTTTGCACCTCTGGGAGCGTCAAGTTTCCACACCTGTAAAGAGAGCTGAGAGCAAGAGCAGGCTGTATATTTCCCAGCCTGTATAAAGTGTTCCTGGCCCCCACGTGGTCATATGCCAGAGCTTGATGGACCGGGCTGTTAGCTCTCCGGGGCAGGTCACATGTTGAACAGATTGTCTGCCCTAGACCTGGGCTCATTGTCAGCCAGCTGAGCATCAGTCGTCCCAAGGAGAGCCAGCAGAGACAGGGTGACTGGGCCCTCTGGCCTGGCTGGAGAGGGAGCAGTGCAACAGTTGTGGTCGTGATACAGATGATGTGTCCTGTGGCACCATGCCTTAAACCAGCTCCTTAGCCAGCCAAGGCCAGAGAGTTGTTCTCAACACTCAGTGGGTACTGTGTGAACCCTAAGGACCCTAGGCTACTGCAGGCAGGATCTGGGTACAGGTCAGCCATTAGTTACCATTACAGCTCCCCAGATACTTGTAGTACAGCTACCTGTCTCTTGGGCCTGTACTGGAAGGATAGAGGAAAGGCTTGCATAGTCACTGCTCAGAGACAGTGTGAGGGCCACAGTGCCACAGTTGGGCACTCCCTGCAGAGTGAGGGTGCGGTTAGAGTTA